TCGACGACGAGTTCCTCCCTCCTCTCCGAGCTTCCCCGCTGTCGACGCTGACCCCGACGCCGAGCTCCTTCCCCGTGCTTCTCCCTCGTTGAAGACCGAGCTCCTCCTTCGACGCCGACGCTGAGCTCCTCCCTCGTCGATGCATTTGAGCAAATATTCAGAGGTATAATTTCCAAACTACTTCGTAGTTAATCGATCTGTAGATGCATAAGTGGACGTTATATTCCTTATTCAGATTGTTAATCATGTTTTCCCTTCATTGGAGATGTTGGTTCTTGTACACTAGCTATCCAGGATTAGATAATTTCCTTTGTAATATCATTTATACTTGTTTCCAGGCCGAGCTCCTCCCCCGTCTACGCCGGACTCTCTCTTCGAATTATTGATGGCGATCTCTCCAACACCCAGCCTCGACAATCTCTTCGAAAATCAAAGTGTTTCACTCCAAAGAACCAATCTTTCTGAAAATTTTTCTGAGGTAAGCCATCGGTCTTAAAACGTCGGATTATTGCTAATTCTGTGATTATTAGCTGTGATTGAATTTTCTGAATAATTATCATGTTCTTTGGAATTATTAGCTGTGATTGAATTTAATTCTTTTGGTTGAGGATAAAATTTGAAGAAGATTATTTAATGCATGACATGAATATCACTAGTATATTGATTATTGCTACCTCATTGCCAATGTTTCACGGCTACGAGAACACCTGGTTGTAACTTTGGAGCATGTCAGAGCATTTTTGGAGCCTGTTGCGTGTTCGAACAACTCCTTGGTGAGCATTTTTGCAATTGCACTCGTACACTTATATTTTGAAATAAAGCTGCAGTAAACCAAAATATTGCCTTAATGTGAAACTCTGATTACTCTATTTTTTGATGAACTGCCATTATCTCGTAATGCCTTGTTATATATCCCTTGTAGGATGACGAGTCAACCAGCTGAAGTTTCCCCCAGGTTGTTGGAGCACAGGTTGCTGGAGCATAATGTTATTTAAGCATTTAAGTATCTTGGATCTCAGTCTACATGTATCGACAATAACTTTGGTTGTAACTTTTTTTTGTTTTGAAACATGAAAATGACTCTAATTTGTGAGAACACCTGATTGTAACTTTGGATGATGTAACCTGGTGTTAGAAATCTCTGCTAGTTTCTTCTAAATGTGTTTATGGTGAAATTGTTTAATGTGTGTATTCATGAAGTGTTTGCATCTGTGGCTATTTTGGGATCTTGTATATACGTATTATGTGTGCTTGTAATTCTTGATGAAAGGAGATGTTCATGGACGGCAATGAATTATAAATGTGACCGTCCGAGAGTAGAAATTTATCAAGTGAGAAGAGAACAAATGTTCTCATGAGTACACTTTGCTTCTACCTGATTAGGTTGAGGATAGTCAACTAGAAAGCTAATCAAACAACGAACAACATCATTCACTGATGAAGAGGATGCTTCTCCTACTACACTCTTATCAACATGGCTGATGCACATAGAGCTAGTGATTGCTGGCAAACATAATTTTACTAATCTTTTTGTATATATGGAATGCAAACTTGAGCTATTGGAAACTTTGTACTACTAAACTTTGGACAGTATCAAATGTCATAAGAATGAACTCTGATATTATGATGTAACAAAGAAGAATTTTTCACACACAAAAAACTCATGTACAGAGAATTTACAATTTGCATTGAAAGATGCCTTTACTATCCCTCCAACAATTGATTATATAAAAGATCTACTACTATATGCGATCATACACGGGCTCCTTTTTTTTCCTTCCTACTTTCTCCTTTGCTCCTGAGGCACTCAAGGGAAAATCTAGCTGGTTCCTTGAATGGTTGACCACACTTGTTAGCTTCAATTTTTTTGCTCCCATCAATGGCTCCTGATGACAATCAGAGGCGAAACTGCCAATGATCACCTGCAGAGAGAAATATTTTCCAAGTTAACATTAGCGCGAGATACACAATGCTGATAGAGAGAGATAAATGGTATGATAATATTCGCAGAAATCTGATAAGAAATTGAAAGCATATAATGAGATACTTGAAAGGAGACAGACCTGAACAGAGGAGGCAACAATGAGAAGGCCGCTCAGACGACCTCCAAAGACCTTGCCATTAGGTCCTGCTAGCATGATAGTTAGCCCATCAATTTTGCTGCCTGGACCAATGCTCTTTGTCAATAGGCCAGAGATTGACAGTATCTCAAAGCGGCCTTGTATATAAAACAGAAGAAGTTTCCTTTGATATATGTTTGAGATTGAGTGCACATAATATGTGAACTATCATTAAAATATTATGTCAAGGTCTGGAGAAGATCCGATAGTGATGTGTACATGAGTAAACCACAAAGGACTCGAGATACACACTTCCCATTTAAAGCTCACAAGCATACATTGAGCATCAAAGTTTAGACTCTAGTAGTCTAGACAACTATATATAAGATAACATCGCCCCAGTACTCAACTTGAAAAAGAATAAGGATTTTTAAGGCAAGAAAATTTGGAAAGGTGTACATAGTGATACTGCAATTGGATAAAATTTTCAGGGGATCCTGAAAGGAAGCAAGAACTTGTATATATATGTTACAAAAAAAAATTTACCTCGTGAGTTGTCATTCCACCTAAGCTTGTCGCCCAAACAAGTGCATATTGAGATACTGTTCTTCTTGTCTGTTTAATTAGATTACATACAACCCCATAAAACTACTAAATTGACAAAAAAAATTAATCCGTTTTCCAATTCGCAGATAATTTATTTACTTTAACTAGAAAGAACCTTTTAAAGCAATCTGGCTAACATCATTCCATAGGTACCAAGGAAGTCTAAAACAATCTATTTCTGGAGCACTCACGTAGAAAACGGCAATAGCTAAATAATAAATATCCCAGAAGATACACAAATTGATTAGTATTTTCCACGTGCATGTGTCCATCACTTGAGACATGGTTACTGCAAAGGGATACGTTACATTTGCCTTAAGAGTGAGTTATCAGCTGATTATAAAAAATTGCATCTTGAATAAACAAAAACCCCTTCTAAGTATTATATAAGAAACATTAGCAACTGGAACTAATCTTATATAAAACATTGGTTATCAGCTTTCACCTTTACTTTCTCATTGGGATAGAACATGTTTGTGTAAGCAATGAGTTTTTGCACAAGATGACTGAAAATTTCATGCGCTGTGTGTAATAAATTTCTTTCCCAATTTCATGGATCCTTTGAGTGACAATAGACTTTGGTTTCTTTTCCCCGTGTTTTTGTACAAAAGAAATTTGCAAAATGGACTGAACACTTTTGTGCTTATTTAAGTTAAAAGAAACTTTTCCATTAAAAAAAGTTAAAAGAAACTTTCCTATTCATTGTTCATGTTGTATCTGATGATTTACTAACTTAGATATTTATCCGCATCCAACATAAAGTCATAATCACATTAGAAAATGACAGCATCCTGTGCAACCCCCTAAAACTTCTAAAACTAAAAAATTACTGACAGTTCGTCCGAGACTGTAAAAGTTGACTAAATTTTAAATCTCATTAAGGTTTGCAGTGAAACTTATTTCTTTAACCAGAAAGAAACTTCTAGAGCAATCTCACTAACATGATTGCGTACATATCAAATGAAGTCCAAAGAACCTATTTCTGGAGCACTCACCTCGAACTCGCCAAATAAACAAATAGAAAAAGAATCCTTCACGATATCACAAAAGGATTTATTCTTTCCAAGTTCATGTGACCATGACATGAGAGTAGAGATGTGATTACTGTAAAGCGATTCATCGTATTTACTCGATTCAATATACATTTGACAAATACAAAAAGGGGTTGCGCATACATACCTGGCATCTCCAATGAAGGGAAAACATGATTAACAATCTGAATAAGGAATATAACGTCCACTTATGCATCTACAGATCGATTAACTACGAAGTAGTTTGGAAATTATACCTCTGAATATTTGCTCAAATGCATCGACGAGGGAGGAGCTCAGCGTCGGCGTCGAAGGAGGAGCTCGGTCTTCAAATATTTGCTCAAATGCATCGACGAGGGAGGAGCTCAGCGTCGGCGTCGAAGGAGGAGCTCGGTCTTCAATGAGGGAGAAGCACGGGGGAGGAGCTCGGCGTCGGGGTCAGCGTCGACAGCGGGGAAGCTCGGAGAGGAGGGAGGAACTCGTCGTCGATGAGGGAGGAGCTCAACGTCGGCGTCGAGGGAGGAGCTCGATCTTCGACGATGGAGGAGCACGGGGGAGGAGCTCGGCGTCGGGATCAGCGTCGAAGTCGACAGCGGGGGAGTTTTACGATGAGGGAGGAGCTCGGCGTCGACAGCAGGAGGAGCTCGGTCATCAACGGGGGGATGTGAAATTGGGGATATGGGTGTAGATCACGGGGGAGGTCTTGACAGCGAGAGGTGGGAGGAGGAGGGGGCGTCGGTGTTCGACGTGTCAATGACGTCATCGGCATCGGCGTCGACAGAGGAAGGAGGAGGGAGAGTATTCGGCATGGGAGAGGGACGATGGGAGGAGGGGATCTGGGTGTTAATTACGGGGAAGGGTTTTTGAGGTCATTGACAGCTGTTCTACGCTAATCTCAAGTGGAGGGCTCATTTGCAAAATTCCCTCTGATTTCTTACATCCACTGAAATCAGATCTGTGGCTGAGATCTGACCACATCAGCTCCATAGGAGGAAATCCCCTCCTATGTCAATGACCTCCATTAATCTCATATATATATATATATATATATATATAGATAGAG